CTCTGTCACACCCAGCTCTGTCCTGCTGCCACCGTGGTTCTCCGAAGGGCTGGAGCTTTTCCCACGCTCCGACCCTCCGGAATCCCGCCTGGATTGCTTCTCCTCCTGCAGCTGGCCCTGGACTTCGCTGCCCTCTGGAACGGCGGCGCTGGCGTGGCTGGACTCCTGCTCTGCTGCTTCGGGTGGGTGCTCACTGTGTGCAGCAGTCGGGGAATGGGAACAGTCCTTATCCCGGCTTTCCTGCTCGCAGGAATCGTGGCTATTCCCTGAATCCTTAGGCACCTTCTCATCACACAGAGGATGCTCAGCGCTGCCTTTTCCTGGCACATCCTCAGGCTCCTGCTGCTTCCCGGGGCCGCCCCCAGCCCTGCCCAGCTCCTGCTGGGCGTCCCGGCTGGAATTCCTGGGGCAGTTTTCACCTCCAGGCGCCGCATCCCCGTCGGGCCCTGCCTCCCTCTCCCTCCAATTGGCCTTTTTCCTCTGCGAGATCCCTTTGGGCACGTACGGGGCTTTGTCTGGCTTCCTCCTGGGCGGCCTGGTGATCCTGCCCGAGCCCACGGGGGCGCGGGGCCCGTCCCCGTGGGTGTCCCCGGGGTGCCGCAGCCGGGCCCCGCGGCCGCCCCGGCCCCAGGGCTGCGCCGCGCCCCGCGGCCGGCCCGCGCCGCTCCCGGGCTTTTGGTCGCTCGAGGTCTCGCTGGGAAGCCTGGGATGGCGAGAGGGGAGCAGGGGGAAACCCAGGGATGTGGGGTTTGCCAGAGGAAAAGGAGGAGCGAATTCCCCCAGGGAAAATCTCCTTAGGGTCTGGGAGGTGCCACTGGTAATGGAGACTTCAATGGGACACGGTGGCTTTGTGCCCGATCCGAGGGCTGGAGCCTGGCTGAGCCAGGCTGGGAGAGCTGGGAATGCTCCAGGGAGAGCTCAGAGCCCCTTCCAGAGCCTGGAGGGGCTCCAGGAAAGCTGGAGAGGGATTTGGACAAGGGATGGAGGGACAGGACACAGGGAATGGCTCCCACTGCCAGAGAGCAGGGATGGATGGGATTTTGGGAAGGAATTCCTGGCTGTGAGGGCGGTGAGTGGCTGGGATGGAATTCCCAGAGCAGCTGTGGCTGCCCCTGGATCCCTGGAGGTGTCCAAGGAGCAGCCCGGGACAGTGGGAGGCGTCCCCAGAAGGTGACAAAGGTTGGCACTGGGATGAGTTTCGGGTCCCTTCCAAACCATTCCAGGGTTCCGTGGCTCGGCTCACCTGACGGCCGAGTGACAAATGACCGTCCTCCTCCTCCAGCCCTCTCCCACCGAGAAGCTGCTGAGCAATTCCATGTTTTCCACCGTGCGGTGGATCAGGTACCTGAGGCGGCTGGACAGGGGCGGGAACAGCAGCACTCTGAAAGGAGAGAGAGCACCAGAAACGTGCAGGAAGGGATGGGAATGCTGGAAAAATTTAACCCCAGCACGGGATTTAAATCAGAAAAAAAGCCAAGCTGGACTTGATGATATTATACAGAGCATTTATGCCTTCCCACATACATTTTACACATCAAATGGAGAGCAGGGAGGCTGGGAATGCCTGACCCCCAAGACCTTTCCTGGACTCTCATTCCTGCTGTATCCGTATGCGAAGCACCAGCAGAAAGCTGCTTTTGATCCCCTCCCTCCCAGGCTGAGTCTAATTTCATTTCTCTCTTAATATCTCTCTTATTCCGCAACATTTCTAAATGGATATTTATCTCAAAATTTATATACAAATATATACTACATAAACCTTCTGTCAAACTTCAAAATTTCTCTACAAATCCATTTCCCACACGGAAACCGGGAATAAACCAAGAATGGATAAATAAACTCCACGCTCAATGTCACTGCTGCCACACGGTTGACAACAGCACACGGAATTTCTCTGCCAAACATTTTATAAAAAAAAAAGAGCACCGAAACAAATATTTAAGGTCATGACAGGCCGGCAGGGAGCTCAGCTCAGCGTTGCCACCCGGGATTGGGCTCCAAAGGTCGCTGGATTTGGGAACAGATCCAGGTGGAGGCAGGATGAGCAGTGCTGCTGTGAAAAGCACCAGGGGCCCAAAGCCCAGCCTGAAGGCGTGACCGGGAGAGGAGATCCCAGCACGTGGATCTCCACATCCAGACCCCAAACGCTGCCGGTTTCACCCCAGAAAAACGACAAAAACCACGAGCCCGGAGTCTCCGGGCACCCGCGGGTCCTGCCCGGGCCGGGACCCACCGCTGGTGCTGCCCCTGCTCCAGGAACTGCTGCAGCTCCTCCGCGATCCTGCCCACGAACTCATCCTCGCTGGGCGACAGGAAAACGCCGTCCATGGAGCGCAGCGCCAGCGCGGAGAGGGGCGGCTGCGGGGACAGGGACACGCGTGGGGACAGGGACACACGTGGGGGGACAGGGACACGCGTGGGGACAGGGACACGCGGGGAGGGAGGGACAGGGACACGCGTGGAGAGAGGGACACGCGTGGGGGGACAGGGACACGCGTGGAGAGAGGGACACGCGTGGAGAGAGGGACACGCGTGGGGACAGGGACACGCGTGGGGGGACAGGGACACGCGTGGGGACAGGGACATGTGTGGGGGGACAGGGACACGCGGGGAGGGACAGGGACACGCGTGGGGACAGGGACACGCGTGGGGGGACAGGGACACGCGGGGAGGGAGGGACACGCGTGGGGGGACAGGGACACGCGTGGAGGGACAGGGACACGCGTAGAGACAGGGACACGCGTGGGGGGAGGGACACGCGTGGGGGGACAGGGACACGTGTGGAGACAGGGACACGCGTGGGGGAACAGGGACACGCGTGGGGGGACAGGGACACGCGTGGGGACAGGGACACGCGTGGAGAGAGGGACACGCGTGGGGGGACAGGGACACGCGTGGGGGGACAGGGACACGCGGGGAGAGAGGGACACGTGTGGGGACAGGGACACGCGGGGAGGGACAGGGACACGCGTGGAGGGACAGGGACACGCGTGGGGGGAAGGACAGGGACACGGGTGGAGAGAGGGACAGGGACACGCGTGGGGGGACAGGGACACGCGTGGAGGGACAGGGACACGCGTGGAGAGAGGGACACGCGTGGAGACAGGGACACGCATGGGGACAGGGACACGCGTGGGGGGACAGGGACACATGTGGGGGGACAGGGACACGCGTGGGGGGA